CGTGGAGAGGGAGGCCAATCCCCCGTCCCAGGGCACAGAGTTCCAGGGAGACAGTGGTGAGGCAGGAGGCCAGATCCAGCAGGGACTTGTAAACCACAGAAAGAGCTGCAGTTTAAAATGGAAGCATTTTAAGCAAAGAAGCTGGGGCTGGATTTGTGACTTAGAAAAATCACTGTAAGTGTCAGAGATGGACTAACCACAGTTCACCTCTACGGCTGTTGCTCTCCCCACAAGAAAGGAAGCACTCTGAGCTAAGAGAGTGACAGTGGCAGTCGTAGCCCTCTCGGGCTGCTATTAATATAACAAAACGCACTAAGCTGGGTGGTTTATAAACAACAGAGACTTATTGCTCACAGTTCTGGGGGCTGAGAAGTCCGAGATCAAGGCACAAGCAGATCTGGCATCTGGTGAGACTTCATAGACAGTACTTTCTTGCTGTGTCATCACGTGGCAGAAGGGAAAGGCGGCTCTCTGGGGCCTCTTTTATAAGGGCATTAATCTCATTTACAAGGGCAGAGCCTCCATGACCTAATCACCCCCAAAGGCCCCACCTACTAATAATTCCATCGCCTTGGTGATTAGGTTTCAACATACCTATTTTGAGGGACACAAACATTCAGACCATAGCAGGGGATAATGATGACAGCTGTCATTAATTGAGCACATACTATGTGCCAGACTCTGTTAACCCCTTTACAGCGATCAGCTTTTTAACTATTTTAACATCACTATCAAATAATTAGCATTATCTACCCCATTTGAGAGACGAGGAAATTGAAGGACAGATAGATTGAGCAACTTGACAAAAACCACACTAATGGGAGATTGAGCCAGAGTTCCAATCGAGACAGACTGGTGCCAGCATGCCCAGAATAGTGAAGAAGAGATGGAGGGGAGCAATATTTAAAGGGTCATGTTGGAAAAACAGGTCTGATGGGGTGGCATGGCCAAGAGTGGGTTGAGGGATGAGGGAAGGCTCGTGTCTCCCAGGCAGGTCCCACTACATAATTTGTGGGGCCTGGTGCAGAATGCAACTGCCAAGCCCTTTGTTCAAAACGTACCAAGAATTTTAAGATGGTGATAGCCCCTTCTAGGCTCGGGGTCCCATGTAACTGCACAGGTCGCACAGCCAGGAAGCAGTTCTGCTCCCAGATTTCTGTTCCAGGTACCTGGAACCGCACCCCAGCCTCCTGCTTCTCATTGGCCCAACATGGAGAGCCTGGCTCAAGCCCTACATTCACTAATTCATTCAGGAAATGTTTGCTGGGAACACATTGTGTATCAAATGCTGGGCACACAGAGAGAGTTGGGTAATTAGCTTCTTAGCACTTTAAGAAGGGTTAAGATAAAGAGGGTATCTTTATCTGCAAGACAGCGTTCTGGTTTAAGACTTGAATGAGACTCGGGGCCTATGTGGACGTGTGTCAGCAACATTTAAGCTGCAGAATGGAAGATGAGTAGAAATTCTCCTGCCTGAGACAGAAGGCACTTTCCAGAGATGGTGGCAGCAATATCGCTTCTTTTATGCACGTTCCTTTTATGACAATGATACTCCTCCATCCAGAGGCGGGTTCTGTATTCTCTGCCTTGAACCTGGGCAGACCCCGACCCACAAAATGTGGTGGAAACACTATGGAATGTCTCCCAGGGCGAGGTCGTAAAAGGTGACATGGCTTCTACCTGGCTCTCTGAGGATGTGCACCTTTGCAGCCCCCAGTGGCCGTGTAAGAAGCCTGGCTGCCTGAAGCCACCGTGCTCCAGAGACCATGTGCGGATGCCCAGGTGCCGACAGGTGAGGGAAGAAGCCTTCAGGATGATCCCCCCTTGGCCACCGTCCCACGGAGACCTCATGAGAGACTTGAGCAGAACGGCCCAGCTGAGCTGCTTCCAAATTCCTGAGCCACAGAAGCCCTGAGAGATAATATATAGTTATTTTTGTTTTAAGTCACTAAATGTTGGGGTAATTTGTTGGCAGCAGTAGTAACGTAAAAGAAAATAAAAATCTCAAGACCCCCTTCTACCCCCAACTCCTTATGCAAAATGGCAGGTAAAGGCCTCAGACGCCTGTGCAGCTCTGGGCCGCAGTTCACTCATAAGGAAATTCTTGCTGGCCTCCCATAAGCAAGGACATGCAGATTGTAACCTCAGTTCTGCAGGCCACATCTAGCTCCTAAAACTAAAGTCTGTCCCAACTCCACACTAATAATGAATTACAAGTTTATCTTCACAGGTGCAGAACAGAGACAAGACAGGGTCAGGCATTCTTCCACCCACCCAGGGACATCTACATAATTGATGTTTCCTTCACTCCCTTTTTCTCCTCCTAACATTTGCCTTATCTTATGTAAAATGTAGATTTTACTGGGTCTTATAAGAATGTGACCATTTTGGCTCTTTTTTTTTTTTTTCTGTATGTCTTAAAATACCGAAATTTCCAAATTCCCCTTCAGAAAAACAGCCACAGCCTTGTCTCTGGTTTGTGTTTTTCCCGATAACATCCTCAACTTTGGCTTCATAAATGTCCATTGATTGAGATTTTTGCCTCAGTCACTTACGTTGAGTTGACAGTAACTATTAATAGAATACAGATGAAATGTGGAGCACGGGTGGGTGGACAGAAGTGCTCTGGATGGAGAATGCAGCACGTGCAAAGGCCCTGGGGTGAGGAGGCATTGCTGAAATGAAGGTGCAAAGGTTGGCAGGGCTGGCTCTGAGGCTTTCCAGCCCTGGCATGGCCCAGGCAGGCCAGGCACACCAGCCCGTCCACCAGGCACAGAACTCTTTGTTTGGTCCTACTTACGTTCCTCCTGCGGATGGGTAAATCTCTTTCCTCTTCTGTGCAGAGTGCTGTTGGTGCCATCATGGGGCCCATGGCTATAGCACAAGCCTGTGCAGGGAAGGAAACCACATTTCATCCATTCGTTCATTGTCTCCTTCAGTAAGATCCCTGTCCCTCCCTTTGTCATCTTGGTGTCCACAATAACCCCCGAGGAGGTGCTAACGTGTCTCCAGTGAACAGATGCAGAGACCGAGGCTGAGCAGGCTGGGTCCTCATCCACTGCCGGGAGCGGGCAAGTGGGAGACAGGGGGTGGGCTCCAGGGCCAGCCTGGGGGCTGAGCCTGTCCTCTTTCCCCAGATCCAAGTTAAGCATGTCCAGGCTGTGTGACTTTGGGCCAATCGCTCTCCTGCTCCAGGAGAAGTTCAGTTTTCCCCTCTGCGAAATGGGAGGATAAGTGCTCGTCTCACTAGGATTATCAAGCAGCTCAGCCAAGATTGTCATAAGGACAGCCACCACTTGCATCTGTGCCAGGTACTGCGCCAGGCTCTCCACCCGCATTGACACACCTCCTCCCTACACGGTCAGAGTGGTCCAACCCCGCTCTCAGTTGAGGTGACTGGGGCAGAGCTGGGCGAGCAGAGCCCTGAGCACTGGGGAGGGCTCGGCGGGTGCAGGCAGATGACGACAATCTGCTTTTCCGTTTCCTGCCAAAGCCCCACACCTGGTGAAATGTGCTCAGTCCCCCGGATGAGCCCCTAGTCCACTGCTGCCCCTAAGCAGCCTGCACCAGTTCAAACTCCATCAGGATTTGGGAAAACAAAGGAAAGAAACAATACCAAACAGCCGGATTGGCCTCCTGCTAGGAAAACAAGAGGGGAGTGAGAAGAAGCCCGCACAGCCAGGAGAGGCCCAACCGACACCTGCTACCCAGAGACCATGACGCCGAGGTCAAATCTCCGCCTTGGCAGCTCACATTCCATGGGTGAGGGTATGGAGACAATAATAACTACAAGACTGACAGCAACAGAAAATACTTATTTAGTGCTCACCTTGCGCCAGCCCTACTCTAACTCACTTGATTTTCATGCCCTGTGAAGTAGGTTGTATTGTTTTCCTCGTTCAAGTGGAAATGAAGGCACAGAGAGGTTAAGTGGCTTACTCAAAGTCACACGGTTGGTAGGTGGTGGAGCCAGGATTTGAACCAGTAAACCAAAAATTCCTCAATCCCCATGCTGAAGACTCAAGTGCATTCCTCATGCAAAAGCGGGGGCTCTCCCCGATTTATAGACCAGGATGCCTAGACCAGGATGCCGAGGCCCAGAGAGGTGAAGCTGGCAGCGAAGGAGCAGGATTTGGAGCCAGGCTCTGACTCCACGCAGGGCTGCCGAGACCCTGCGGGACCCCAAGCTCCTCTCCCCACCACCGATCTGCCCCCTCCAGTCCCAGGCAGCCCGGGACAACCTGCCCCAGGACAGGACAACTTCTCATTACTGTCACAGCAACCCAGCCAGGGCCACCCCAGGGAATAACGTGGCCCCAGGCCCCCAGGGAGAAGGGAGGACAGGACCAGCTCCAGCTGAGACACCCCCTTGCCTGGCCTTGGAAGGATTTTGGTGTCTCTGGGAACAAACTGGATCGCTGCCTCCTCCCCACCCTCACCCTCTGCCCCCCCTTTCCTTTCTCTGGGGGTCACTTCCCTTGTATTCCAAGCACTAATAGAGAACCAGAGAGAAGAAGGCAGAGGAGGGTGAAACTTGAGATCCCAGCCTTGGGGGGCAGAAGGAGAAGAGAGACAGAGGAGGGAGGGAGAGAGAGGGAGGAAGAGAGGTTCAGTTGCTAAGTTGCGCTTGTTTTCCGGAGGGGCAGCCTTGGCAGTTGGCATTTGCGTTTGCTCGCGTGTCTGCGTGTGTTGTTTTCTTTCCTCCCTTCTTGCAGGGAGGCCAGGCCCCGACCGATAATAAACGGACTCAGGGGCGAAGCTGGGCAGAGCCAGGCGGGTGCAGGACGGGAGGAAGGAAGGGAAAGGGGAAAGAATAGAGGTGAGGGATGCAGGGGTGGGGAGTAGGAGGGGTGAGAGGAAGCCCAGCAGCTGTGGCATTCCGACAAGTATAAATAGCCTCCCGCTGGGACAGAGCTCGGCCCCAGGGGTTTGCCGCTGCAGCGGCCGCAGCCAGCCGAGTGTGCTAGGCACAGGGCTGGACAGTGGGCGGGCGCGGCCCCTGGGGGCTCTGACGGACACCCCTCGCCCTCGCCACGTCCCCGGATGCTCTCGCAGCCAGCCATGCTGCTGGGCGGCCTCCTCCTCATGGTGGCCACCACGACGGCGGCTCAACGGAGGGGGCAGGAGGCGGGCGGGCGCCGCTGGGCACACCGAGTCCAGCACGGCCAGTGCAGCTACACCTTCGTGCTGCCCGAGCCTGAGCCCTGCCCGCCGGAGCCTGAGGCCTTCGGGGGCCCCAACAGCCTCCAGAGAGACTCGCCGGCCGCGGCGGCGCTGCACCTGGGGGACTGGCCCGCGCAGCGGGTGCGGCAGCTGGAGAAGGCGCTGGAGAACAACACGCAGTGGCTGCAGAAGGTAAGGGCTGGGCTTGCAGGTGCGGCGGGTGGCTCTGCAGTTTGTCACGACTGGCAGGTGGAGCATCCATCCCAGAGGGCTTTCCTGGGCACAGAGGGCTGGCTCAGAGTTGCACTGATTGGGATGTGAGGCCCAGAGAGGGGCAGGGATGGGCCTGAGGCCACACAGCAAGGTTGGGCAGCATCGGAACTGGAAACCTGGCTCCGTAACTGCCACTCATTCATTCAACCAACAAAAACTTGTTGAGTGCTGACAGGGCTGGGCCATCCTGGGTGCGGGGGAGACAGCGGTGAACAGAATAGCACGTCCCCTTCTGGACAGCGGGGGAAAGAGGTGACAGAGTTACCTACTGTGTTAGACGGTGAAGCAAAGCAAAGGGAAGAGGGCAAGCAGCACCAGGGGGTGGCTGTTTGAGGTCAGGTCATTGGAGAGGATGTCTCAGAGGAGGTGACGTTTTGAATGTCAAGGACATGAGAAGTGACAGAGCGGACCATGTAGGTATCTGGGGGACCGTTCAGGCAAAGGGACCAGCATGCGCAAGGGCTGTGCCCGGGGAACAGCAAGGGTAGTGGTGTGGCCGGGTCAGGGAAGGAATGGGAGAAAGCGTGCCGGGCAGGTCTGAGAGCTGCGGGCAGGGCTGGCGATGCAGGCTGCGGGGTCCCCTGGAAAGACTCTGGCTTTTGCTCTGAGTGTCACAGGAGCCGTTGCAGGGTTTTGAGCAGGGAGAGACACCCCTGCGTGGGTTTTAGCAGAATAGACTGTAGGAGGCAGGTGGACGCAGGGAGCCCAGGGAGGTGGCCACGCAGCCCCCAGGCACGACATGAGGGAGGCCTGGAGCGGGATGGGTCAGGGGAGGGGGTGTGGCTGGTCAGACTCCGGTGTGTTCTGGAGGGGAAGCCGATCCACCTGCTCTGCTGATGAATTGGATGTGGGCCACAGGGAGCTGAGGGCACCCCTGTGCTTTGGGCCCGAGACCAGGCCCTGTCCTTCTTTCATCTTTCAGCAGACGCTCTGAGCACCTACTGCGTGCCCTCAGTGAGGCACTGGGTGGGTGTGGGGGCAGGGATAATGTCCTGGGGGGGTGTCCACGATGGGACTGGCCAGAGCCCCTAAGTAGGAGCTACCAAGCAAGAGAGCAGGACCAGGAGACATCGGGGTGCTGGCCGTGGGGTGAAGGACGTGGGCCGATTCACGGAGTTGTAGAATGTATTAGACAGCAGGCAAGCGCCACAGCCTCTGAGAGGAGGAGGTAAGTGGATTCCCCAAGGTGCCCCCTAAGGGAGCCGGCTCTGCTTTCCCCGTGGTGTCCAGTGGTTCCAGTCACGCGCCCAGTCAGTGAGGAATGCTTGTTCCCGATAAGCACAGATTTATTTAATATCGACCCGCATACATCCATATTAATATAATATGTACATGGTGTGACACAAATAAAAATGAAACTTTTAAAAGATAACATATGAAATCATGTAAATTGAAGTTCTAAGAGTTTCCTCCTGTTTTCCAAAGGATTGTCTCATGCATAGCCTGGGTTCGTCCATCCCCGAGGTGGAGAGGCTGCACTACACGTCTAACCCGCCTGGTCATGCACACACACACACACACACACACACACACACACACACACGCCTCCTGTCTTCCTTCCTGACCCAAGTACTGTCCCTCACTCACAGTCTCCCCATAGTCCCCCGCCCACTGCACATCCACCACCTGCGCTGCCGCCACCCCACGCCGGTGTTCCCCTTGAGGGAGCTCTTGGCCTCACACACTGGGGCCCAACCCAGTGAGGGCTCCGTGCTGCGCTGAAATCTGTGTGCATCTCTTCGGGCAACTGTTTCCAAGTCCCATGAGGCATTCTCCAGGACTTGCCCCCTCCTTGAGCCTCTGTCTTCACTCCCCACCCTCTACCCATCCTCTCTCCAGACCCTAGACCTCCTACTTCAACGGAGGCTGAGGGGAGGGGGCCCTCAGCTGCCTGCCCCCTACCTGCAGAATCACCCGTGCATCCACCGGCCCCCAAGGCCTTTCTTCAGGCTCAGAGGAAAGGGGTTCCCTCCATGGGCTGAGGCCACTCTTCTTTCCCGGGCTGTGGGTCACCTCCCCTCGTAGCTCCTGAATCTCCTCAAACCAGCCATCCTGTGTCTCTGACAACTTCTCCCTCTCTGCTGGTCCTTCCCGTGAGTATTAAATCACACCCAACTATCTCCCGTGTTAAAAAAAGGAAGGAAGGAGAAGAGGAGAAGAAAGAGGAGGAGGAGAAACACAAGCCTCTTCTCCAACCCATGGAAGTCCACATGGTCTGCCTCCACTTCCTCACTTCCCACTGACTCCTTGCCCTAAGGTCACCCGTCACCCCCACCCAGTTCCAAAATCCAGTGGCCACAGCTCAGCCTTCATCTTGCTTGACTCTTGACAAACCGAATATTGGTGACTAACACCATCCTTCCCGGAACCTCCTCCATCAGTAAGTCCCTAGCTGCAGAACGCATCTGGACCAGCCACCTCTATCTCCTGCCCGGCGGCTGTCCCGGCTGCCACCCTGGGCTCCCTGCTTCCACACTGGCTTCCACCTCCATTCTCCACTCCGCAGACCAGGGGATCCCCGCCACAGCCTAAGTGACATCCTGCTCCTCCTCCCAGGGATCCCATCTCATTGGAATAAAAGCAAAAACCCTTACTCCCTGCAATGCTCCTCTCCCAGACCCCCACGTGGCCCTCCCCAACTTCCTATCCACTCCAATGTCACCTCCCTGGAGAGGCCCTCCCTCCCCACAGCATGTAAATAACCACCCTGTTTCTGTCACCCTTCATCCACTCCTTTGCCCATATTTACTGTGGTTTTTTCCTTAACACTTATCACTCACTATGTGATGTTCTAAAAAGCATTTCCTTTGTTCTATGAGCTCCATGTCTGTGTTTGTTCACTACTGTATTCCCAGGGCCTAGAACAGTGCCTGAAACTGCCTGAGTAGGTGCTCAATAAACGTCTATAGAATGAGTGAATGCAGAAATCTTCTTCCAGTCTCTCAGGCCTCAGGTCCCTATCCTGCTCCATGATGACACCAAATTGGCATGTGATGGGATCCTGAGCCCCACACCTACGACCCTGCCTGCCCCCAGACATCTGCCCTCTGAGGGTCCATGGGTGTCTCAGCCCCGAAGCTGCCTGAGACTCTCTCTCCTCCAAACATGCTCCTTCTGCCCACCTCTCTCTGTTTAGGGTATGACACCACCCAGCTGGCAGGCTGGCTGTGCCCGGGGGTCTCCTGTCGTCCCCACCTCACCCCCAGGCAGCAGGCTCATCCATCTTGTCACCTGGGCTTCTGTCATTGTCCACCCTCCTGTCTCCCCGGCTCAGGCCTCGTCATCTTTCCCATGGACGCTGGCATCACCTCCCACTTGGCTTCTACACCCCAAGTCTCACCTTCTCATCCATCTTCGAACCCCCTGGGTGCCAGGTGCTTGGGAAACATAGGCTGAGTCAGTCGATCGATTGAACTGATGGCTTTCAGGGCCAGAAGGTCACTGGGCCCACTCTTCAGCCTGGGGTGGAATGTCCTCTCTAGGTGCCCATCCGCCTAGCCTGACACTCCCGGACAGGGGTCTGCCACATCATCGTGGAGAGCCTCGGGGCCTAAGAGCACTGCTGTGGGAGTCCAGCCAACCCAGTCCACATCCTGGCCCCAGCACGCACTTACCACGTGGCTACAGATGAGCGAGTCTCAGTTCTCCCTCGTGCAAAATGGAGAGAAACGACAGCATGTCAGGGGGTGGCTGGGACCACTAGTGAGACGCCACGCACCACTCTCGGCCTGCTGGCGGCTCCATAAAGACATGGGCCAGCTCGCCCGGGCGCGAGTGCTGGCGCGTGGTGGGCCCTTATTCAATTCAGCCTCATCCCTATTTTGAGCCCCTGCACTACTGAGGGACAAGCTCAATCTTGGTCAAGCCCACGCAAGGGTCGCCGGTGTCCTCGGGGCTAGGAATGTCAGCTGTCCATGCTGGTGTTCTCAGGGGGCCCTCATCCTGCCCGTCTCTGGTGGGGTCCCAGTGGGTGTTTGTTGTACCATCTCCCGGGTGAGGAGCCCCTTGGGGTGAGCACTGTCTTCATGCCGCTTGGCATTCGGGTCACTGCCAGGTCACCCTGTGCCTGTGGAGCCTGCCACAAGGTCAGACCCCTTGGCCCAGACACACCTGCTCGTTACTTTCCCTGGGTCTGTCACCTCCGTGGGCAGCAACACAGCCTGGAAGGTGAGAACCCTGACTGTGGAGCCCAGCTGCTGGGATTCCGGGCCCAGTTCTGCCCCTTCCTGGCTGTGTGACCTGGGGCAAGTTGCTGTATGTCTCTGAGCCTCGGTTTCCTCACCTACAAAACGAGGTAAGAGTACCTCTATGAGGATTTAACAAGATGATGCGCATGTAGTACTTGGCCTGGTGCCAGGTATACAGTAAGTGCTCAACACATGTAGGCTATTTGCTTTCGGGGCTCTCCCTGGAAATAGAGACATGAGCCCTGCAGTTCTTGGATCCTTCCTCTCTTCCGGTGAGGCGTGTGACCCCTGGCTTACTCGAGCAGTCACCTCCCCCCACCCCCGACTCTCCCCCCACCCCGACTCTCCCGGCCCGGTCGGGGATGCTGCTACCCTCCGTGCCTGTGGCCGTGCCCTCCCTCTGGCTCTTCTCTTGGTTTGGGCATATCTCAGAGCCTTTGAAATTCAAAGGTTTCTTTACAGGTTTTGCTTCAACATCCCAGAAAAGAAAAAAAAAAAAGTTTTAAAATATTCTTACTTAATAGCATCATCATCATCATCACCATTGCCGTTAGGGATGAAGGAGCTCTCTCAGCAATTAGTGTGCATGTTAGTGTATATGTGTTCATCTGGGCAGACGCAGGGGAGGTCCTCCCTGCCGCGAACTCCCAGTGGCCACCCCCTGCTCAGCCCGTGCCCCCAACCCCTCTGTCCCCCAGTGAACAGGCGAGGAAACTGAGGCCAGAGCGGGGA